CATCCTTTAAGGAGCCTTCCAGCCAGTTTCAGTCCTGCTAGAAACTTTTCTCCATAGAGAGGCTGCACACAAGTAGCCTCTTGGTGCTATAGGACTACAGTCCAAGTTATGGTCCTTGGTAGTAATAATGACTAACCAGCACCATGGCTATTAAGAACACAGGTACTCACATCAGTTTGGCCATTGAGGTAACAACTGGTTTATTAAAAATTGACGTTTTGATTGCTTCTTCCTGTGAAGGCTTGATGCCCCAAAGAAGGGAGATGCTAGAGGGATGAGCCTGGAATGGGAGGGTAGATTGAGGAATACTCTCTTAGAGGGAAAGGGGAGGGGGTGGAGAGCAAGGTTCATGGATCGTAGACTGGGATGGGACATAATATTTGAAATATAAGTAAACAAAATGAATAACAACAAAAATGGGCATTTATTGTTGCAATCCCTAGGAGTTTAAAAAATAACTCCCTTTTATACTTGAACAGAGTACATCTGTAAAAATGAGAGAGGCAGGAAGCAATGTAGCGAAGTAGAACAGAAGAAACCTAATTATACTACTAGTTCATTGATCATTGATAGACACGCCTAAAATAATTATTCACTAGACATCTACCAACAGATGACAAGACACAATTTAAATATCAATTTGTACACAGATGACTTCATGCCATGAATGCAAGTATGGTTCATTGTAAGCATATCAGTTAAGTGTAAAACATCACACAATTAAACCAAGGATAAACTTAAATAAACATAGAAAGATATTTTCCAGAAAAACATGCAGAAAATGCTCTTAATACAGTCTAACAAGCATCACTTATCAAATTAAAAAAATAAACAAAAATTTGACAATCAAGGAAAACACATGTTGTAAAAATGAAGATTTCTGTGTTAAACCTGTGGATGACATTGTACCACATGAACAGAAGGATCAAAGAATTTCCATTAAAATCAAAGTGAGACCATGTCTTTGTACTGACACATGTATTTCATTTACATCATTCGAATTATGAATCAGGAGTATCTCTTTGAATTTGTCATCAGTCAGACTTTTAAATTGACTCTACTCAAACATGTGTAGAAATGGTTAGTCTGCCTTAAATGAAATGAGCAGAATATGGACAAGGAAATGTATGTTTTGAAATCATTGTAAAAAAAGTGTTTAAAATCTTAGTAAGCATGAAAATAAATAATAAAAATAAGTAGAGTAAAAGAAGAAAAATATTGTGCCCTGAAACATAAAGAAAGTTGATTATATTAATATTATAAGGCAAGATTATTTATCAACCCCCCCCCAAAAAAAAAAAAACCAAAAAGAGTTTTGGTTAACCGTTTTTCTGGAGACCATGGGATGAGTCTGTGGATAAGAAACTCTGTGATGGCAATCAGGATTTAACAAAAACAAAGGATTCAAATTCAGCATGCAGATATCAGATAAGTTCCAATGCAGCATCTACATAACCATCCCAAGATTCATTGTAAAGCCAAAATTTTTTTTATCTCAGAAATAATTGAATTAACTTTAAGCAATTTAAATCTGCCTCAGGTTTTGACACCATTTGCAAGCTCTGTAAATTCTTTCCACCTCAGGAAACACTCTATCTTCCTGGTCACTACACATCACCTCAGGACCTGCAAACCACAAATGAAGTAGAGCTGGTTATAGGCTGCTGTTTATCTGTTTCCACTTAGATTGATAAAGTTTCCTGTCCTAAGGTTGTTGAGGTTATCTTGGTTATCTGATATGTGAGGCCTTATTTTCCTGTTTTGGATGTCCTTTGCTCCTAATTTGCTACTATGTTGCTGCTACAAAACAGTAACTATAAGCAACATGAAGAGGAAAAGGTGGATTTGACTCATGGGTTACACTCAAGTGAAGGAAAGGCATGCACTTAGATAATGCAATTAAAACATAGTCACTCAAGAAACTCTGCTTACTGGTTTGTTGTGCATGATTTCCAATGACTACAGACAACACTGCTCCCAATAGGCTTGGCACCCTTACATCAATTAACAATTTAATATATATGCCGCAAATATTTCATAACAGGTGAGTCTGATGGAGGTAATTTCTGACCTAGAATTCTCTGTGCCTTTACACTGAATTATGTGATCAGGTGACAAGAATTAACTAGAGTAACCACCTTGAAATCTCTGTAGTGTTTTCACACAGCTTTTCTTCCTGAATTTCAAGGAGTTAGGAAACAATTCAATTTTTTCTCATTTTTTCAATATATTGATATCAGTCATTATACAATGTACTGTGTAAAATCTTCTAACTTTGTTGTTGTATATAAAATTAGTTTATTAATATCATATGCTAATATAATATAATTATATAAGAGGTAAGTAAAAATCCTGTTAGCAGCATTTGTCTACTTTTCATTAGATGCTGACTTCTGTGTGCAGTGCCGATTGTGGTCCTGGATTTAGAAAATTCAGGAAGGAAGGAATGGCATCATGCTGTTTTCACTGCAAACCTTGCCCAGAAAACGAAATTTCTAATGAGACAAGTGAGTATTTCCTTCTGGAATAATTTCTCCACATGGATTCTCATCTTGCTCTCATATTTGAATGCTGAAGTGGTCTAAAATGAAAGTTTAAAAATAAAATATGTTTCAGGCCTAAGTTAATCATTATAGGAATATAATAATTTAAAATGTCCTTACTAAGAAAAAAGGTAGAAATTGTCCTATATTTTTGAGTCCTTGAAAATTTATAATAGATGGCACACTCTCAAATAAATGGTTTTATTAAGAAAACTTCAGTGCCAGTGTACTCTAGACATCATCTTTCCTAGAATTTAATGCTCTATAAAAATATACCTAGATCATGAATGGTTAATGTAGTCATTTGTTTTGCCATGATGTTTGTGCTCTGACGCAAGTCTATACTTACCTTGCATATAAAGAAGCGCATGGAAGACAAAACAAGTCAGTGAGTATGGGTAAATAAATCCAAGTCCTCTGTAAGATGAATGAAGAGGGCAAACAATAACTTGTAACATTACCAGATATTCAAGTGAGTATTTGCTTTCCTTATAGGATATTTTGCATAATAAAAACATTCTTTTTATTGGACATTGTATGTATTTACATTTTATATGTCATCCCCTTTCCTCATTTCCCCTCTCTAGAAACTCCCTATCTCATCCTGCCTTTTCTTTTTGGCTTTTATACCATTTTAGTTAGATGCAAGTATTAAAATCAGTTCTAGGTAGAGATCTTATAACAGAGCCTTACCAACATAAGTCAGAAGTGGATAGCTTTTGATAATAGCATTTTCCATGAAAGGGATGGAAGGCGTTCTTGTCAGAACAACCTAAGACAGGCTAAATCTAGTTTAGTAATTTAAAAAAAAGGAGGAGTGGGGGGCATGGAGAGCTTTTAGGGCAGCTTGCCAAGAATCTGACATGGTCCAAGAACAAAAAGGGGTTGCTTGGCAAGCATATGACATCAGCCAAAGACAAGGAAGGGGGCTTCAGGCAGGAATCTGACATTAGGCTAGTAGAAATAAATAATTTCAGGCAGGAATCTAAATATTAGGGAAGAATAAAGAAGTAATTTCAGGCAGGAATCTAAATTTTAGGCTAGAACAAGGAAGTAGTCTTCAGACATGAAAGTTACTCTGGGCTCAGATATTTTTGTCATCCTGAAAAACATTCTTTTAAAAATAAAAGTTCAATCTTATTTGAAATTTAGAAAACTGAGTATCACTCTTGACATATTTTATGAAAATATGGGGAGCCCTGTATTCACTAGTATTATGTATGGTGCCAAGTTAAAAGTTTAT